ACGAGCTGAATGAAACTTAGGCGGACGGGGTATATCTTCTTAAAATTTCATTCCTTTAGCTTCTCAGGTAATTGAGTTATCAATTTACCAGGAAAAAATTTTGGCGGGCTCGTACGGGGGTACCACGCTTACCCGGGGGCTGGGTTTGAGCCCACTAAATGCCCGGTTGGGCGGGGAATATTACCCCAAGATTTCAGCCTTCTAGCTCTCAGATTCCCGATTTATGAATTTACCCGAAAAAAATTTTGGCGGGCTCGTAGGGAGAATACCATGCTTACCCGGGGGCTGGGTTTGAGCCCAAAAATACCCGGTTGGGCGGGGAACATTCCCATAAAATTTCAGCTTTCTAGCATCTCAGAACCCCGAGTTATGAATTTGCGCGGAAAAATTTTGAGGGGCCCGTACGCGGGTATCACGCTTATGCGGGGCTGGGTTTGAGCCCACTAATAGCCGCTTGGGCGGGGAACATTACCCCAAGATTTCAGCCTTCGAGCAGGCCGGGTTTGAGCCCACTAATAGCCGCTTGGGCGGGGAACATTACTCCAAGATTTCAGCCTTCTAGCTTCTTAGATCCTCGAGTTATGAACTGATCCCAAAAAAACTTTGGGGGGTCCGTACGCGGGTACCACACGGGTTTTGGCGCCAATTTTGGGGATGTAGATCCTCGAGTTATGAGCTGACCCCGAAAAAACTTTGGGGGGTCCGTACGCGGGTACTACGCGGGTTTTGGCGCCCATTTTAGGGATTGGGGTCGAGTTATGACCCGCTTGGGCGAGGAACATTACCCCAAGATTTCAGCCTTCTAGCTTCTCAGATCCTCGAGTTATGAGCTGGTCCCCCCAAGATTTCAGCCTTCTAGCTTTTCAGATCCTCGAGTTATGAACTGATCCCAAAAAAACTTTGGCGGGCCTGTACGCGGGTACCACGCGGGTTTTGGCGCCAATTTTGGGGCCCCAAAAAAACTTTGGGGGGTCCGTACGCGGGTACCACGCGGGTTTTGGCGCCAATTTTGGGGAGTCCCAAAAAACTTTGGGGGGTCCGTACGCGGGTACCACGCGGGTTTTGGCGCCAATTTTGGGGATGGGAAAAAAACTTTGGCGAGCCCGTACGGGGGTACAACGCGGGTTTTGGCGCCCATTTTGGGGATTGGGGGCGGTATGTGCATGTAGGTTAAGTTCCCGAAATTTCAGCCCCGCAGCTTTTATAGGTCCTGAGATGAAAGTGC